ACTAGTTAAACTGAAATACTAGTAGTAACTAGTATTAGCGATGAGTGGGGATGCCAGGTTATCAGGCAAGAAAAGAAACTTCTGCCTGATCTTCACAGAGCTTTTGATTCTGGGTTGGGAACCCCAGGTCCTCCCTCCACTCCCCACCATGTGGAGATGATGTTTCCTAATGCTTGTCCATTGAATGTGTACAGAACTTCCAAATGGGTAATTTCTGATCCCCCTGATGCCTGTAGGAGGGCAGAAATTTAGCTTATGAATAATACAGACCCATCTGTCTGATGCTTATTGAGACTGTTTCTTGGCTCTGGCAGCACAGCTCCTGAGAGGTCCACATAGTGATGGCCATCTGTGGAAAACTTGATTGCTCTTGTTCTCAGTGAGGAGAGTGGCAGGAGGGGCCTTGCCTTCTTACTTGCTTTTGTCTCCAGTTCCATCCAGCTGTGTCTCCCTTCAGAAGCCTCATGGAGTGGGAGCATTTTGTAGGAGTCTAGCATAAAGGAAAGGGCATGTTTATTGCCATCTTAGCCTGCAATTGCTAAGGCTTCAGAACAGTGATGGGCCATGAATAGGCCTGAGTTCTTGTTCTGAGGTCTGTTTCTAACAACCATGTGACTCCCAGTAGGTCCCTGCTCAGCCTCCTGTTCCTTTTTTCTAAGCAGAAGAGTTTGCAGAGCTGTAGGAGCCTGAATGCCTCAATTTATGTGATTGGCCTGTACCACCCTCTGTGACCAGGCCCTCATTGTTTCTGTACTTTGAATTTGCCAAATCTGTATTTAAGATTTATAAAACTCAGTAGCTGATAAGATTTTGGGAGTCTTGTTTCCCTCCAGTTAAACCAGGGCTCAGTTAAAGCCTTTAGCTCTTCATCTTAAGGAACTAAAGGCTTAAAAAAAGGACACACCATAAGATTGATTACTAGGGTTGTTTTCTTACTCATGAGTTGTTCTGAGTTCCTTAATATGTTTCTGTTTATTTTATTGTTTCTCTTGCTGTGCTGGAGAGCTGGTTGGTTTGATACAATCTCATTTGTGCTTTTTCTGCTTTTTTTTTTTTGTATGTGTATTTTGGGGTTTATATTCCAAAAAATGTTTGCCCAGATCCAGTTTCATAGAGCTTTATTCTTTGTCTTCAAATAATTTTGCACTGTCAAGTATTCTATTTAGGCCTTAAACAAATTTGAGATAATTTTTTAATATTGTCTTAATTTCATACATTTGCATTTGGATGTCCTGTTTTCCTAGCACCATTTATTGAAGAGGCTGTGCTCTCCTATTGTATGCTCTTGGCATCTTTGTTGAAGATCAGTAGATCATAAATATTTATGTCGGGGCTCTTCATTCTGTTCCATGTATCTGCATGTTTGTTTTTATGGCAGTTCTGTGTGGTGATCTTGGTAATAACATTCTTTCTTTTGGCACTTTTTTCAATCTAAATTGGTATCCTCTAATGTAGAGGTTGCCCTCTATGTTTGATACACATTTGCTATCCTGGGGTTTTCTTTCTCTCTCATCTTGGAAAATTCCTTACACTTATTTTGTTCTGGTTCTCATTATATTTACATCAACCTCTTTCTTAGTTTACAGTATTTTTTTAAGAGAGAGAGAGAGAGAGAGAGAGAGAGAGAGAGAGAGAGAGAGAATTTTTCTAATATTTTTTAGTTTTCGGCGGACACAACATCTTTGTTTGTATGTGGTGCTGAGGATCGAACCCGGGCGGCACGCATACCAGGCAAGCGCGCTACCACTTGAGCTACATCCCCAGCCCAGTTTACTGTATTTTTTTCACAAGACATGTACATTAGTACCTAACTATGGAAGAACACATGAAATTTTCAGTTTTGGCTCTAATAACATTTCTTTCCGCATTCTTGTAGTCATGTCTGCAGGTGATGGATTTTTCTCCCTAGTATGAAGGTGTTTCCAGTTTGTCATTATTCCTGAAGGATATTTTTGTTGGATAGAGAATTCAGCGTCCTCTGAATGGAGGATTTCATTTTCATTTAACTTCTTTAGATTTTCTTTGTATCTTTGGTTTTCAATAGCTTGATTACATACTTTGAAGTTCTTTTTTTTTTTTTTTTTGAGAGGGGGAGGTTCACTCAGTTTCTTGATTCTATATGTTTATCTATTTTACATGGATATGTTTAGTCATTATTTCATTAATTTTGAAGGACCTATTCACCCTCACATTTTGGAACTCCAGTTATCCTTATGCTTGACTTTTTAATATTGTTGTTTAGGTCCATTATGTTCAGTCTGTCTGTTTGTTCAGTCTCTTTTCTGTTTTTCAGGTTGTGTAGTTTCCATTGATACAGTTCATTCTCACTGACTCTTCATTCTTTTATTTCCATTTAGCTATGAAGATTACCCACTGACTCTTTCATTGCAGATAATATATTCATTAGCTTTAAAATTCTTGTTTTTAAAGTAAATTTTTATTTCTATGGATGTTTTGAAGGGTTTCAAAAAGGCATTTCCTAAAATATCTTCTGTGTTTTGGGTAAAACATGGATTTCAGACAAGAGATTAATGTCTGAGAGACTTGTTAAACTTTTGTCATCTCTGTGCTTACTATCGCAACAACCTGCATGCAGACAGTGCTAATCAAGTTGGAAAGGAAGGCATCTATTCAGGAAAATAGTGAAAATGGACTAGACACAATTTGTCCATAGGTTATTAATGGATGAAAAAGATGAGTACTGTTTACTATGTAGGATTGATAATGCTGTCATTAATCTGGATGCACTATAGGTGGGTAGTATACTTTAAGGAAAATTTTGAATTGAATTACAAACATGTTGCACTCAAATGCTGGCCAATATAAGTCAGTAGGAAGTTGGAAAATTAAAGAGGAGCTATGAGGAAGAGGTCTAGAAATGTAGATTTAACTGTTTAGCAGAGAAGCAAAATGAGTCTTATAATACAACCATGCAAATAATAGAAACATCAGAGGTCATTCTTTGAAAGAAAAAGAATCAGCATAAAATCTGACAATTTCAAAGAAAGTTAGAAGAACCAGAAGACTGAGGTATACCAGAGGTCAAAAGTGAGAAATTTGTAGTCTGAAGGATTTGCCAGTGTCTTCTTGAACACACATAAAAAATTCAGCAAGCAAACAGATGTACTCCTCCTCCTCAATCTAAAGCATGCCAATATTTATGTAATGAGGATCTTCCCTAGCAATACCAAAAATGTAATTTTGTTATAGAGATTAATGTAAAAGTCCTACTCCAAGGAAGAGAAAAGAGGATGCACTGGAGGTAATAGAGGGGGTGAGTCCAGGCCATGTTTTAAAACTTTTCTCAGGGGTGAGAATAGATCAATATAATGGTAGCTGGTTGCTTAAAGTGTGCAGAAGGTGAACAGAGGCAGCAATTAGATTGGCTGGGTATGACTGGAAACAAAGCTATGGAGAGAATAATGGGTGTGGTGGTACGGTTTTAGAGTACATAGATAAAATTGAATTGAGGATATTAGGTTACAAACATTAAGGGGTATTTTTGCTTCTATTACAGGACAGGAAGAGAGGTAGTTATGGAGAAATTTGCTCAGGGAGAAAAGTCAATCTATATTGGAGGAAGTCGGGAATGTAAGACATTTGAGTATGAAAGTTAAAGAGGGAGGTTGCTGTTTCTACTCTCAGTTATGGGATAGAAAATATTTGGAAATAAATCTTTCTTCATACAACAAATATAAAAGCTAGTTCCTCCCCCACCCAACTATTTGAAGGTATTTGAGAATCAATAAGAGGATGAATATCTAGGAGAAAATAAATGCTTAGGGAAATAAGGTCAGTTTTTGGAGCAATTTTTCTCTAGTGGATATCTGCTGATTTTTGGAAGATCATCTGAAAAACGGAGCAAGCATTTGATAGCCTCTTAGGGTTAGAGGGATATGAAGTAGAACTCCGGCCCTATTAATGTAGTATGTGTGTTCCCTGTGAATCAGTGGTAGGAAGCAGAGTGATCCAGCATGAGAGGTAGGTTCAGCATGTGGAGGGGTGTTGCAAAAGGTATCTCGATAATCGATAATCGAGAGTGGGGATGTAGGTTGGTGCTGTGGCACCAGGTGAGGGAAGAGCTGCTGTGCGGCCAGCAGTGCAGGTGGCAGAGTAACAGGAGCCTGTGCCTTGGTGCTGCTTCCTCTGATGGCATAGTGCCTGCCTTCACAGGTGTCCAACTACTACACAGAATCTGGAATCTCCACTGGCTAGTCAGTTTGGGTACCAGCCGGGGAATGGCCTGTGTTGAAAGCTGACTTCATGCCATATTGTTGTTTTTGTTTCTCCAGTACAGGAGTGGGCTGTAAATGAAGGTGGCGGCTCTCAGCACTTTCACCAACTGCCAGGAATGCTCCTTCATTTTTCTCTTGCAGCAAAGAAAGAGAAGGAAGCCCACAGTGATCACATAATACAGCCCCAGTAATCCATAATAAAGGGAATCCAATTTAAGGCTGAAACAGAAAGAGGCAAGCTGACTGACAGCTGTAGCTTGAGACCTGGACTCTTTCTTCTTCCTCTACTTGACCTGGTTCATTCATCCATTCATTTATTCCCACCCTCCTCCAAGACATGCCAATTCTCTTCTGATTGAGTCCAAGCTAGTTTGGCAGGAAGCCTGAGAGGCCACTTTCACCTTTGACAGATAAGAAACACTAGGTGTACAGGGGCCATGACCTACCCGGACTCTGTCAGACCTTCTGGCTCCCAGTCCCGGACCCATCTGATCCTTTAGACTCACTAAGGGCAAGGTCCTTGAGGAAGTCAAAGCTCCCCTCTTGACAAGGACTCCCATGTAGCTTTTCTGTTTGGGCAGAATGTAGTCTGTGTCTACCTGGAGTCCCTCCTCTTCTAGTGGAGACTACCTCTTAACTGCTTAGCACTTCCCACAGGCAGCCACCTCCCCATCCTTCCAAAGGGAATTCCCCTACACACAAAGAACAGGAGGGCTACTTACATCCAGGAAAGCCCAGGTCCTCCTTTGGGGAATCCATCAGTTGGAGGCTTCTTACCAGTCCTAAGCCTCTGGAAAGAATGAACTCCCCCACTGCTTGTTCCACCAATGGGAGTCCTCAAAAGGCCTCAGCCTCATTATGTCCTCAAGATGAGGTCAGAGGGTTCTGAGCACTGAGAATCCAGGATTGGTGGTTGTGGAGTGGGTGACAGTTGACGCAAGGAAGGGACTCCATCTTGTGACATGTCATGAGCATAGTTGTCTTCCATCAAAGAATGGACCCAAGACAGAATTGTCTGTTCCCCAGTTCATATGGGGAATGCACAGAACAGCCCCCAGGAAAAGGCCCTCACACCCTCAGGAGTTTCTATGTATGGGGTTGGTGGTTAGGGAGCCATTTCTGCATAGCTGCTGCTTCTTGTTCTTCTTGTTCTTGTTGTTGTTCTTGTTGTTGTTGTTGTTGTTGTTGTTCTTCTTCTTCTTCTTCTTCTTCTTCTTCTTCTTCTTCTTCTTCTTCTTCTTCTCTTTTTTTCTGTTTTTTTTTTAATTGTGGATGGACCCTCATTTTATTAATTGATTGATGTGTTATGCTTAGAATCCAACACAGTGTCTCACACATGCTAGGCTAGTGCTGTACCACGGTGCCACAGTCCCAGCCCTGTGGATAAGTTTTTCAGAGGGAAGTGGGTCAGGGAACACAGTGAACATTGGACAGCCCAGGCAACAAGAAGTTTCTGCACGAGTAGTCAAGGAGACACAAGCTCCAAAGTACCTTGTGGTTCAAAATTCCTTCTGTGGCTCCTGGACTCTGTCTGTTGTTTCTTCAACCAGTGTTTCTTTGGCATCATCCATCCTGGTGGGGGCTATCTCCTATGTGATCCTGTATCCCTTTCCAGCTTCATCTCCCTCCCCATCCTTCAGACACCATTCCCTTCGGGCATGCTAGTGTCCACCAGGAACTCTGGACTGTGGCTTAGACTGCCCCTTCACTCAGAGTGCCTCTCATCACATTTCTACCACCAAACACATCCTTGTCCTCCCATGTGGCAAACACCCCAACATGGTGGCATACAGTGCTTTCCATAGATTTCCCAGAACCCCATGGTCTCCAGTGGGAGGAGACTTGGAGCCTTGTCTAATCCAACTCCCATCAGATAGCAGAGTCATGAGGTTAGGACATCCCTACTTACCACCCAATCATCACAGTATGCTGTCACTCAGGGACTTGTGTCAGTTCTCCTGAGGCAGCTGGATTCACTTTTGACCAGCTCAGTTAGAGAGATATTTGCTCATGAAGCTGAGGGCAGACCCCAAGAAGCTTGTACCCCTGGTCCTGGCTTGGCTCCTTGTTACCATTTAGTTCCTCCCAATTTCTTCAGTAGCCAGAATGAGCCTTGACAGCACAGATCATGCCAGTCTGCTCCCACATGCAGTGACTTCTCATTGCCCTCTGATGGAAAACCACAATCCTGAACCAAGGCCTCCAAATGCCTGAGCATTCTCACCAGCCACTCCCATGTGTCTCTTTCCACTTCCTGGGAAGCTTTTCTTTCCCTTCTTCATAGAGACTCTTTGCTCAATTTTTAGTTCTCTGCTTGAGTGTCTCTTTATTTCCATCTTTCTTTGTCTGCTTTGTTCATCAACATAGTGTTCTCATCACACAACATATATTTATTTTTTGTCTGTATCCAGTGGAATGGAAACCAGTGGAATCAAAGAAAAGAAGGATAGAAGCAATTCAGAGAGTGAAATTTCCACAAAGGGAATAAAAGAGTTGAAGTCAAAGAGACAATTAAGGTGTGCAAAGAGAGAGAGAGTTCATTTATGAAGGTTCCCTTGAGGAGTGGACATGGGAACGAAGCCCTAGGAGATGATCAGGCAGCCTGTGCAGCTGGATGCAGTAAGATGAACTGCAATGATCCTGAGCCAGTTACAGGCCAGCCCACCTAAACTTTTTAACCCTCTACTACATTCCAAACAGCACAGAGCAGGGCTGATCTGATCTTTCTAAGTACAGGTGTGAGAGAGCAGAGTTGTAGGATCTGTACCTGCCTCAGGAAGGGTTTCCTCAGCCAGATTTGCACACAATGCACATCAGTGAGTGCCTTGACAGAGGATGCCGTCATGTGTGGAGCAAGCCAGACAGATGTGCATGTCACTGGCCCTGACCTCAGGAACTCACAGTTGGTCCCAGAGGTGAAAAGGATAGTTGCATTGGGGTTGAGAGAGGCAACATGCATTGCAGGTATCCAAAGAAGCCTATAGAAGAAGACATTGGGCCCAATTCTGGGTGACTCCAGGAAGTAGTTCCCATGTGGTTGGAGCTGCAATTTGGCTTTAGGAAGTACAGGGTAACTGAAGTTTGGGAGCATTTTCTAAAGGTCAGCTCTGGGGTATAACTGGGAGAAATCACTTAATATCAGGCCCTCAGCCTCAGCTTCCTCACCCGGAAAATGAGGGTAATTCCTGCCTGATTCTGACAAAATGGAGGTCACCTAGAAACTTCAGTAGAGAGAAGCAGCTGCTATGAGGATGTTTGGGGAAACAACCTTTGATGCTAGAGGAATGAGTGGTATGAGTGCCAAGAACGTTTTCAGAGGAGCTATCTCATGAGCACCCTCGGGTTCAGTCAGCTCCCCAGAGCAGGATTGGCACCAAAAGAGGGCTGGTCGTGAGGAGGGAAGGCATGAATTAGGGCAGGCTTTCTGAATTAGGGGTGCCATGGCACCTGCAGAGCAGAGAGAGCCCACAGGCTGGGTTTGGAGCAGCCAGCCCAACCCCTTAGTAGACTCTAGTCCACTCTGGCCACCTGCCCTTGGAAATGCTATCTGAAATGGGAAACTTCTTCCCAAGGTATCTTTTCTTCCCAAGATATCTTTCTATTTCTTACCCCCTCTGCAGCTCCAAGGGAAAGAGGTGAAATGGCCAAGCACAGGAGACCCAAGAGAGCTCATTCTGCCAAGGCATCCCTGCAATTCACAGTGACACCTCTAGAATGGGCCCTCAGTACTAGCAGAGAGTGGTTACTGACAAATCCTCTCTCATCTATGCACTTCAGAATTTTGGTCAGGGACTAGCTCTTTCTGAATCCATCATTCTCAGCATGAGGTGTAGAAGTGTTAGAGAGAGTGGAAAGGAGAGTGAGTTCTTAGGTGCAAAATCAATGGAGTTTGTGCACCTCAACTAGATTGGTTTTCTTTTCCCTATGAAGAAAGCATAGATTTAGTGCTGGGGATGTGGCTCAAGCATTAACGTGCTCGCCTGGCATGTGCAGGGTGCTGGGTTTGATCCTCAGCACCACATAAAAAATAAAATAAAATAAAGATGTTGTGTCCACCGAAAACTGAAAAATAAATATTAAACATTTCTCTCTTCTCTCTCTCTCTTAAAAAAATTAGAAAGCATAGATTAATATTGTGTCTCATCATGCATTTCACACAGTGCCTTGGGGAAACAGCCTGCATGCAGAGGACCCACTCTGGAACAGGTAGGTTTCTAAGGAAACATGGAGATCCGAGTTTAAAGCTCTAGGAGACATTTCCAACAAGGGGCTGAAAATTTGAAAATATTGGCCAGGATTCACTGTTTTTGTGCAAGATGGTTTTTCAAAGAGATCTGAGAGATATTTCCATGGCTTTCTGAGGCCTTGCCATGACACCTGGTTTCAGTATGTGTTCCGGGGGTGCTGGAGCATATTGGAAGGAAACATAGTAACACCGCTACATTCCCTAGCCAGTCATTGAAAAGAATCCAAGGAAAACATGGGTAATCTGTCACTTCATGTGCAGATGAGGAAGCATCTCTGGTCAAATGACAGTTGCATTCAAAATGACAACCTCTGAATCTTTCAATGATTACAAAGTGCTGCAGGACTTCACCCTCATTGGTGCTGGTGAAGCCTGAACATGGAGACCTCATAGGTACTGCCCAGGAGTAGGACTGTGAAAGGCTGTGTGGCCTGTGGTCTTAGTGTTCCCAATCCTACAGTTTTTCTTTGAAATTCCTTAGTTAGAGAATGTAATCATTGATACTGTGTGCACACCATAGAAACCAGGGCCTCATACATGCCCGGCCAGCATTGGACCACTTAGCCACAAGCCCAGCCTCGCCCGCCTACAGCTCTTCTCATAGGTTTCCTGTGCTTCTGGAAGATCTGTTCCATTGTGCTGACAGGCTGTTTCCAACAAGCCTGAGAACCAGAATCAAGGTGTGGGGAGGGGCATTTGCTGTTATTGTTTCTACCCTAGGTGTTGATTGCTTCTTATTGTCTCTTTTTCAGACCCTCAGTTCCATCTTTAAGGTTGAGATGGTGAAAGAGCAAGGTGCAGAAGCAATCAAACAGGTGATGTATCCAAATGAATTGGTATCCTGGATGAAAATGTGTTCTGTGAAACCAATCTGAATGCAGAAAGAGCCAACATTTTCTGATGTCTCTTTCCTGTCCAAATGAAGAAGTAATCCTATGAGGCAAAAGTGCTAAATTCTTTCCAGAGTGCCATGAGCAAGCTCCTCTTTTCGCTGTCTTGCTCTCACAGAGCTGACCATCTCTTCTTTCCCCCTTTCCACAACTGGTGTCTACGTCTGACTCCAATTCCTCAAGACCTTATGCCTAGAAGACTGTGTGATGCTTCTGATAGGTGTCCTGCTCTCATTTCTTCCCCTCTACATATGTGATGCTCACCAGCTGAGTCCTCTTCAAGTTCTGCCTATCTTATAGGAAACCAGAGCATACTGGTTGACACATAGACTCTAGAACCGGTCTGCCAGTTTTCATCTTCAGTGAATAAAAATAAAGGTTATAATGGGAACCTGCATTCAAATGTTCCATAACTACTTCTTCCTTCCTTCCTGCCTACCTCCCTCCCTCCTTCCCCTCCTTCTTTCCTTACTTCTTGATGTTTGGAATTCCTAATCCTCCAGGATTCTACAAACATTGACAAAAGGCTTCCTGATTTCTTCCTTCTGTGTGCTTATCACCCAATCTGCTTATTGGGTCACCTTACATGCCTTGATTTTCATTGCCCATTACAATTTCATGTCCAAGTCTTTTCTAATTCAAACCCAAGAAGCTGTTTTTGTGGTATTTCATGAACTTCATTTCAGGTATGTGTACTGATTATCAAAATAAAAGTAAAAGTAGCACACTCTGTCAGGCATTATGCCTACTGCTTCCTATCCAGCATTTCATTGCACTCTCACTGAAATGAACTCAAGACCAGTTAGTGAATCTTGTGATTGGGGTTACTCTCTCGTAGAGGAACCCTTTTTTCTTGGCCTCCAGTGTCCCTTAGTGTGAGGTAGGGCTGACACAAGTGCATCTTTACCTTAATCAATAATCAAAGAAACCAATATTCCTTTTCTTTTTCAACATCCACACAGGGCTGTGATTTTAGGTATACTGTCCTGTGTTTGAGGACCTAGTTGGTCCAAATTGACTTTTTTCCTATGTATTCCTATGCAATAACTGAGATACCTCAGACATCAACTTGGGGACATTTTTGAAGACCTCTGACTTCTTTAGCTCTCCTCTATGAGTAGTGCCTCTTGCCAGGGTGGGTCTGTGTCTGGCTGACCTTAATGGCTTCTCTGGGAAGCATTGGAAATAATTGTGTCTGCAATGACCCTCCGCTTTGCAGAAGGTGCACGGGATGGCTTCCTGTTCTCTGGGGTCCTCTCAGTCTCTCTGATCTGCAGATTCTATGGATCATCTTACACTTTCCCTTACCCCTTCCAATTAATCAGAGTCGGCATGAGTATTGGATGTCGGCATTCTGTACTACCTGTACTGAAGGTGATGGCTTATGATCTGCACTAAAACCAGGTTGTTGTTTAGAAGCAATACATTTGCCATACACTAACAGATAACAGTTATAAAGGGGAAGGCCTCTGTGGAGTTCACACAAATGTGAGCACAGGGCTGGCTCGAGAACATTTCAGGTGACTTGATGGTTTTGTTCCTATACAGGGGGTGGAAGAGGTGTTTCATTAGCACTGATGCCACCAAGGGAGCAATGCCTCAGCGCACCAAGGTGAAGCTGATGCCCTCGGCTTCCATTTAGGAAAAGGCCCCCTTGTACCTGATTTTTTAATCTGGTCTATTAAGAGAAGAATGGGGAATGTTCAGCTGGAAATAGACTTCTCCATGCAGTGTGCATCCACCAATAGGCAAACACATTAGTGACATAACATATTCCACCAGCCCTAGTTGGGACTTGTCATTTTTGTATAAAATGGACTGACACATCAGTTTAAGTTCTTCTAAAAATCATTGCCATTGAATGGGAGGATTCTAGGAGCTGAAGCATGCTTGACTTTTGGTAGGGACCTAAATGTATAATATGAGCAGATGCATTTGTTTTCATGATGGTCATAAGAAAGTCACTACAGTTTGAGGGCTTGGACCTCACTTTTGACAAGTATGATTTGGTTTGGAAGAGTCATGTAGCCTCCCTTGAAACCTTTTGGTTTTGGCAACAGAAGAACTTTGGGTGACGTGGTGCTAACCTTTTTTGCTCCTTAATCTTGTGGTAACTCTCTTTGGGCATCAGCTTACCTGGTAGCAAGTACTCCCAGACCAGGATAATCACACATCTCCCAGGAAGTAGAAGATATTCAATATCCACTTGCCATGCTGCATAAGAGCAGTGCCTCTTGGGACCTTGTCCAGTAATTGGGGGACAACTTGGAGCTCCAGTAATGGGGGGAGGGAATTGAGCGCCTCCACAAGTATTGTTTCCATGTGTCTCTTCCCAGCCACCCTCCAAATCTCCTTGTATTGGTGAGACCAGTTCCCCCACTCTAGAGAGGAAGGACATTGCCCAGGTAAGGGCCATTGAGATGCAAATGACTCTGAGTATTTTCAAAACATTTACTACAGTAAAAACTGCATGGAATCTGACCTCTATGTCAATGTCAATTGCCTTAGGTTAGCTCCCTTTTCTAATATCCCTGGAAGTTTTCAACTTCATTGAGCAAAGGTTAAAACTCTAAAGCAAAATGTGCATATTGAAACATTCACCCCAAGGGCTAGAGTGGGAAGGAAATGGGAGTGGACATTCCTTCCACTTCCAATGGAGACAGGGTAAAAGGCAGAATGGTTCACCATGGGAGTTAGGATAAGCATGCAGAGGGGAAGAGCAAAAGGTATCTCCTGAAAGATAATCAGGAGTGAGGATTTGGACTGCCGCTGTGGCATCAGGTTAGATTAGAGGTGCTGTGCAGCCAGCAGTGCAGGTTGCAAGGGAACAGAGGCCTGTGCCTTGGTGCTGCTTCCTCTGATGGCATAGTGCCTGCCTTCACAGGTGTCCAACTGCCACAGAGAATCTGGAAACTTGACTTGAATCTCAATTTGGGGGCCTGCAGGGAAGGGCCTGTGTTGATACTGCGTTCATGCCACAATGCCGTTCTTTGTTTTTCCAGTACAGGGGTGAGCTGTAAGCAAATTTGGCAGCTCTCAGCACTTCCACTCACTGCCACAGGTAAAACAAAGCCCAGACATGTCCCCTTCAGCATTTCTGATAAGGCTCCTTCCTGTAGGCATACCATCTATATATACTCCTATAGAGCTTGAGAACCAAAAAAACCTGAAGGCAATTAACCTGGCTTTTGTAACTCAGTGGGCCCCAGACCTCCATAAAAATATTCAAAAAATTGATGGCTTTCTGAGGAAGAACAGGTCAGAGCTATTGGAGCTAGCTCAAAAGGTGTTTGAAAATAGAAACAGCCAGGATGCTCTACTGATAAAGGAAATACATTGGGCCACAGGGGCTGTGCTACAGTCTCCTGAAATTTTCAATCCCAGACAGATGCAGACTGCATACAGCAGAGGCAAAAGACAGATCAGTATTCTGTAAGAATTTGGACACTGGAAAATATAAATGCCCCCAACAAAATCAAAAGGACTTTCCCCAGCTGCAGGCCAAATCCCCTCATCTAAAACCAGCTCTAACTTTAGAAGAATAGGGGGACCATGCTTTTACAAACTAGGCTCCCAAGAGCCAATGGTACCTTCAAAATTGGGAGCCAACCTCTAAATTTCTTAGTGGATACAGGGGCTTTCACATTTGGTGTTGCAGAAGCCACCAGGACCCCTCACTAATGAAAATATGGAAGTACAAGGAGAAATAGGAGAAATTAAAAATTATAAATGGACCACTGTTGATGTAGGACAAGGAACTGTGACTCACTCTCTCATTGTTATCCCTGAATGACCTTTCCCATTGCTGGGATGGAAACTTCTAAGCAAACTTTAGGAAACTATATCATTTTCAGGGGATATGAATTCCCTACAATTGGGGAGTCCTACAAGAGCCTTAACTATATCATGCCCATAAAGGGAGGAATATCTGCTCTCTCAAAATCTTATCCAAGCTTAGAAGGAAAATGGAAAAAAAAAAAAACTATTTATCCAAGAAATTCTTACAGTTTGGGCTAAGGATAACCCTCCTAGGTTGTAATACAACTAATATCTGGGGCTATGCCAATTCAGGTTAGACAATACCCCATCAGCTCTGAAGCCAGAGTAAGAATCAAAACCCATATTAGATGTCTCCTAGAAGAGGAAATACTAATTAGATATCAGTCACCTTGGAACACCCCTTTGTTGTCTGTCCAAAGGCCTGGGACTCATGATTAGAGACCAGTACAGAACTTAAGGGAAGTGAACAAATGGGTAGAAACCATATACCCAACTGTCCCAAACCCTTATACCTTGCTCAGTCTGTTGGCATCAGAACATAGGATCTACACGGTATTAGATTTGAAAGATGCATTTTTCTCCATTCCTTTGTCAAAACTGAGTCATCCCATCTTTGCATTTGAATGGACTGACCTGGAGCAGGGAATATTGGGACAACCAACCTGGACTCGACTACCTCAGGGATTTAAGAGCTCCCCCACCATCTTTGATGAAGAACTCAACAAAGATTTGAGCCTTTTCTGCAGTGAGTACCCCAAGATAACCTTGATTCAATATGTGTATGATCTTTTGCTAGCAGCAAGGGATGAAAGGGACTGTTGAAAGGCCACCTGGGGCATAATGAGGACCTTGGCTCAATTAGGGTATTGAGTCTCCAAAAACAAAGCACAAATCTGTTCTCCTCGAGTTACTTATTTAGGATATGAACTGATGGAAGGGAAAAAGCTGCTGTCCCAAGCCCACATAGAGGCCATAATGAAGATCCCAATCCCAACTCTAAAAAGCAGGTTAGGAAATTCCTAGGGGCAGTCAGGTACTGCCACCTTTGGATACCTGGATTTGCTGATATTGACAAGCCCTCTATATATTGCAACTGTGGGAGGCAACTGACCTTTAGTTTGGACTGTAGAAAATGAATTAGCCTTTAAAAATCTAAAAAAGGCTCTGGTAGGCTCCTGTCCTAAGCTTCCCTGATATCTCTAAGCCCTTCCATCTGTATGTTCATGAGAAAAAGGGTATTGCAAAGGGAGTGCTTACCCAAAATCTAGGGCTATAGAAAAGATAAATTGCCTACATTTCAAAAAGGCTTGATCTGGTAGCATCAGGGTGGCCTCCTTGTTTAAGAGCCATAGTGGCTACTGCACTCCTGATGAAGGACACAGACAAACTAACTCTGGGGCAGACTCTTACTGTGACTGTTCCACACACAGTGGAAGATCTATTGAGGGATGCCACAAATCATTGGATGTCAAATGCCCGCCTCACTTAATAACAGGCTTTCCTCCTAGACAAGGACAGATTAACATTCAATAAATCCATGGCAGTCAATTCAACAACCCTGCTGCCAGACAACAACCTGTAGGAGCCAATTCATGACCGCTCATAGATGCTGGATGTCATCCAATGTACTTGACTAGACCTGACTGAAATTCTTCTCAGCGTCAGAGATTCAGACCTTTACACTGCTGGCAGCAGTTACGTCTGAGATGGAATGAGGTATGTGGGAGTAGCAGTAGATATGGGCCAAAAAGAAGTTATTTGGGCACAGGGTTTGCCCAGGGGCTCATCAACCCAAAAAGCAGAAATCATTGCTATCACACAGGCATTGAGATGAGCAGAAGGAAAAGGGGTGAATATTTACACAAACAGCCACTATGTTTTTGCTACAGCACATGTGCATGGACAGATATATAAACAAAGGGGACTTTTAATTTCATATGGTAAGACCATTGAAAATAAACAAGAAATTCTTCAATTACTGGAGGCTATCTATCTGGTTGCCAGATAATTATCCACTGGCCTGGACACTGCAAAGATGATAGTCCTCAAACTCAGGGAAACAACTAGGCTGATCAAACAGCCAGGGAAATAGCCCTTGGAGATCCAAGACACCAAACTATCCAACAACTCTCCAATTATCCAAAATTTTCTGTTAAAATTGGGGAGGACGCCTCTTCACACACTACAGAAAAAAATAAACTTATCTTCTCATTGGGTGCCCAACAAAACTGTCATGGCTGGTGGAACCTCCCAAATGGAAAAATCTGCATATCTAAGCTACTAGGGAGAAAATGGTTAACTGATCTTCATCCAGCCATGCATTTATCACCCAAGAAGATGTCATAATTAATCTCATCCTATGTTTGGCTTCGGGGACATCGAGGGATGCTTCAAGATATCTCAAATTGTTGCATGACATGTGCACAGGTAAATGCTAGAAGGATCAACTTCCACAAGGAAACAGGAGTTAAGATTCTGTACCTGGTAAATTTGGGGAATTAGACTTTACTGAAATTAAACTTGGACTATATGAATATAAATACTTGTTAGTCTTTGTTGAAACTGTCTCTGGCTGGGCAGATGCTTTTCCAATCTAGATGGAAATGGCACAAATAGTAGATAAAAAACTAATAAATGAGAATGTTCCTAGATTTGGCTTCCCTCTAATTTTGGGGTCTGACAATGGCCTGGCCTTGATGTACAAATTATCTCAATTGATTTCAAAGGCCCTTAATATAAACTGGAAATTATGCTGTGTGTACCACCCTCAAAGCTCAAGGAAGGTAGAAAGGATGAATAGAAGTAAACACTGTCTAAATTAATCCTTAAGACTGGTGTTAACTGGGTTAATCTCCTGCTTTTTGCCCTATTGAGGGCCCATTGCATTCCTTATCAGGAAAAATTTACTGCATATGAAATAATTTATGGGCAGCCACTGCCTATGGTTTCCAGAGTACACCTAGATCTGCTAGGAGACATTCCAATCTCAGGGTCACAACTATTCATGGATAAGATCTTTCTTCAGGTTCAGGCTGCTCGGCCTATTGGACATAGATTTGTTGATCATTCATTCCAACCTGGCGATGCTGTGCTGATACAATGTTTGAAAACTAATACCATCGAACCCAGGTGAAAAGGCCCTTCCATTGTGATTCTCCACATTCCCACTGCCATCAAAGTTGCTGGTATTCCTGCTTGGATTCATCATTCTTAGCTTAAGAAGGCACCTTCAGAACCCACTGGAGGAGAATCTAGCTGCCAAAGGTGGAAAGTGACTGAGCATGGACCTTTTAATTTTAAAATTTCTAAGGGTTAATATGTTGTCATTAACTTCTTATTGCTTTTCCTTGTTATTGTAAACATTATGCTAATAATTTTCCCTGTTGGAATATATATGTATTCTTGGGTGTTAGCTATGCTAGCCTCAACCAACCTTGCACCCCTTTGTAGCGCAGGTAGGACCTGCCATTGTAAGATCCCCACTAATATTAAATTGTACTTACTCCTGTCAGGATCCAATAATTGGCCCTATAAGATGGTGTAAAGAAAATCAAGAAATTTTCAGTCTGGTATTCAGGGAGGGACCATGGAAAAATCTTACAGACCAGTCTCAAGGGGATCATATAAATTTTGGAATCTATAAATACTCAGCTCACCCAAAAGATTCAGGACAATATTCTTTTATTAAGTTTAAAAAGAGGGCCATAGTGGATACTGACTATTCAAGTGCTACTTTAAATGTGGATATTTCCATGAGCCTCCTAAATTCTACAAACAACCAAACCTTTTGGTTACAATTGATTGTTGATACTATGAACAAAAGTTCCTTCTGCATACAACAAGGAAGTTCCATCAATCAATTGTTAGCTAATCATCTTATGGGCCTCTCTATAAAATATGATGACTATATTAAGGTCACTGGTGATAGGGCTACACAGCAAGACTGACCTGTGTCCCATGCAGAGTCAGACTTGCCAGCTTCACTGATGTCCAAAAACATCGTTTATGCATAGAGTGCATCCTTCCCCAAACCCCACCTAATTGTTCTATTGAACAAAATATCTCCCTACCCAATGGCAAATGACTTCCTACAGGATGGGCTTTTCTCTGTGATAAGATGAGTTTCCAGGCTTTGCCTACCAATTTCTGTGGGATCTGCTCTATTGGATGGATCTTTCCCTTACTGCCATCCCTGGCATCTCCCCACCAAGACATCCGAAGTCTGCCCCCCAATTGCAATAACAATTTAATCCACTTGGACCCCCTAGACTTCGCAATTGCAGCAGCTTTCTTTTTGCCAATTCTAGTGGTAGGAATACAGAGAAATCATGAAATTAGTCTGTAGTTTTAGCAAAACAGCTAACCTTATGACACAATTCTTAGTAGAAATTAATCAGGAGATGAAAGTACTCTGAATCTCAGTACTACAAAATAGAGCAGCTATTACTTTCTTTTTCTGAGATATCATTTGGGCTGTCAACAATTCCCAGGCATGTGTAGTTTTAATATTACCGATTATTCTAGTGTTATCCAACAACAGAGGGATGAAATAAAAAAGGAGATCAACAAAATTCAAATGGACAACTCTTAGCCAGGCTTGGGAAACTGGTTTCCATGGTTAACTTCCCTTGTAGGTCCTATAATTTGCATCATCTCCTATTAGTTCTTGTCCCATGAATCATTAACTATGTGCTCAGGTTTGGAGGACTACAACTTAATTCTATTATGTATAATTGACAGTATTAACATATATGATTGACATTACTGATTGTTCCCTATCAAAGATTTGAAAGGGATACGTAAGACAAGGGGGGAATGATAAACCCAGACTAATTCCGTTTTAAGATCAGGAGCCAACGTTTCACAAGTTATAAAAGATTCATTTGTGTTTTCTGTAAAATATTAGGATTTCTATTTAGCCTGGCCGTATTTTGATGTTTTAAATTTGCTTGTAATGCTTGCCCATTCCTTGAACTCACCCATGCCTAGCTTTCACTGACAAGATAGCAGCCCTCTCTGAAACTTTAGTTATGCCTCATAATCTCTGGCTTTCCCTGGCCAGATAACGACCCTCTCTGAAACTCTAGTGGCACCTCATAAATCCTCATACTGGGATCTAAAATTACTCCCTAAATGCTGAAACATTTAGACCATTAACCTACTACCTGCCTTTGTGTTATGCTTGTCAAAATTCTGTTATCTGTAAGTTCTAAAGACACTCCCCCTTTGTATGCAAGTTTCTGTGCTATAAAGCTGTGTTCCTAGAGAGCTGTAGCATTGTCTTCTATTCCCATGGGTTTCAGGAGAGACAATCCTGGCCTGTCAAAATTACAAGCTTGTTTTAATTTGATTTAAATTGGAGTCAGTGGTCTTTTCTTTGTGTCATGGTTTAACACTCCCATGTATCTTTTCTGTTTGGACAGAACATGATCTGTGCAATGAGCCAACTCATCTTTGGATGTCTTGCTCTCATATACCTGACCAACTCGTATTTCTCCTATGCCACTACTGTTGCCTCCATCTCATTCCAAGTCTTTAAGACCCTATGCATAGATGATTGTATTATCTTTCCAATAGGTTTCCTGCTCCCATTTCTCCCTCTCTCCATATCATAAGCTCAGCAGGTGAGTCCTCCTAAAGTTCTGCCTGTCTTATAGGAAAGCAGAGCATACCTGTACAAATACAGACTCTAGAACCTGTCTGCAGTTTTCATCTGCAATGAAGAAAAATAAATATTATATTGGGAACCTGCCTACAAATGTTTCATAACTTCTCAATTTTTTCTTTCTTCTTGATGTTAGGAATTTGTAATCCTCCAGCATTCCACAAACTTGGAAGAGAAGCTCCCTGATCTTTTTCTTTCCAAGTGCTCATCATCTAGTCTGCCTGTTAGGTCACTGAATATGCCTTGATTTTCATTGCCCATTACAATTTCATGCCCAAGTCTTTTTAATTAGACTAAAAGAAGCTATTTTGTGGCATTTCATGAACTTCATTTCAGAGAAGAACCCTTTTTCCAAGGCCTTCAGCATTACTTAGTGTTTGTAGGGCTGACACAAGTGTATCTCTGCTTTTATAAACAAAAAAAAAATATTTTCGCTTTTCAACATCCATGTACTCCTGTGATTTCAGGCTATCCTCCCCTGCCCTGAGTTTTTAGTCCAAGTTGGTCCAAACTTACCTTGTTCCTATCTATTCCTAAGAATTAGCTGAGATACCTCAGACATCACCTTGAGGACATTTATGAAGACCTCTGACTTTAGCTTTCCTCTATGAGTGGTGCCCCTTGCCAGGAGGGGTCTGAGTCTGGCTGATCTTACATGGCTTCTCTTGGAAGCAATGGGGACAATTGTGTCTGCAATGACCCTTGAATTTGCAGAAGGTGCACTGGAATACTTTGGTTCTCTTGTGCCTGTGCCTTGGCACTGCTTCCTCCAATGGCATATTGCCTGTCTTCACAGGTGTCTGACTCCCACAAAGAATCTGGAATCTTGACTTGAATCTCAGTTTTGGGACCAGCCAGAAAATGGCCTGTGTTGATAGCTGCATTCATACCACATTGACGTCCCTTGATTCTCCAGTACAGGAGTGGGCTGTTAGTGAAGGTGGCACCTCTCAGCAATTCCACCCACTGCTCCTCCAGTTTTCTCTTCAAGTGCAGAAAGAGAATGCAGCCCACAGTGATCACAGAGCATAGCTACAGCTATCCAAAGTACAATTTCTCCCACACTGAGGCTGAAAAAAATAAAGGAAAGTTGACTGACAGCTGTAGGTTGAGACCTGAACACTTACTGAACATTTCACACAGACTTGATCAGTTTGTTCCCACACAGGACGTGGAAGAGGTGTTTCATCAGCACTAATGCCAACAGGGGAGGGATGCCTCAGTGCACCAAGATGAAGCTGATGTACTCTTTCCATTTAGAAAAAGGCCACCTTATACCTGATTTGGAATCTGGTGAATTAAGGGAAGAATGGGGAATGTTGAGCTGGAAATAGAATTCTCCATGCGGTGTGCATCCACAAATAGGCAAACACATATTCCACCAGCCCTAGTTTGGACTCATCATTTCTGTATAAAATGGACTTAACAGCAGTTGGAGTCATTCTGAAAATCATTCCCATTGAATGGGAAGGATTCTAGGAGCAGAAGAATGCTTGACTTTGGATAGGGAACTAACTCTATACTATGAGCAGATGCATTTCTTTTGATGATGCTCATAAAAAGGGCTCTAGAGTGTGAAGGTTTCCACCCCTCCTTTGACAAGTATGATTGTATTTGGAAGAGCCATGTAGCCTCCCTTGAAACCTTTTGTTTGGGCAACAGAAAAAATTTGCATGGCATGGTCCTAACCTTTTTTGCTCCCTAATCTTGTGGTAACTCTCTTTGGGCATCAGCTTACCTGGTAGCAAGTAGTCCCAGACCAGGCTAATCATACATCTCCCAGCAAGTGGAAGTTCTTCAACATCCACTTGCCCTGCTGCAGAAGAGCAGTGCCTCTGGGGACCTTGTCCAGGGGTGGTACACCTTGGAGCTCCAGTGATTGGGGGAGGGAATTGAGCTCCTCCACAAGTATTGTTTCCATGTGTCTCTTCACAGCCATCCTCCAAATCTCATTTTATTGTTAAGACCTGTTCCCCCATCCTAGAGGGGAAGAGCATTGCCATGTTAAGAGCCATTGAGACACAAATGACTCTATTTACAAAACATTTACTATTGTAACATCTACCAGGGCTCTGACCTGGGTGGCAATGTCAATTGCCTGAGGTTAGCTCCTTTTTCTAATAGCCCTGGTACCTGAAGTTCTCAGCTTCAGTGAGCAGAGACTGAAAATCTAAAGAACAAAGTATGCATTGAGACATTCACCCTAAGGGCTAGAATGGGAAAAGAATGAGAGTGGACATTTCTTTCCACTTCCAGTGGAGATAGGGGTAGGAGGCAGAGTGGTCCAGCATGGGAGGTAGGTTCAGCATGTGGAGGGGTGGAGCAAAAGGTATCTCCTGAAAGATAATCAGGAGTGGGGATTTGGACTGCCGCTGTGGCATCAGGTTAGATAAGAGCTGCTGTGTGGCCAGCAGAGCAGGTTGCAGAGGAACAGGGGCCTGTGCCTTGGTGCTACTTCCTCTGATGACATAGTGTCTGCCTTCACAGGTGTCTGACTGCCACAGAGAATCTGGAATCTCCACTTGAATGTCAGTTTGGGGACCAGCCGGGGAAGGGCCTGTGTTGATATCTGCATTCATGCCACATTGCTGTCCTTTGTTTCTCCAGTACAGGAGTGGGCTGTAAGTGAAGGTGGTGGTTCTCAGTACTTCCACCCACTGCTGGGCATGCTCCTCCAGTTTCTTCTTCCAGCACAGGAAATCAATGCAGCCCACAGTTATCACATAGTGCAGCCCCAGCAATCCAAAGTACAGTGACACCCACACTGAGGCTGAAAATGAAGAGGTAAACTGACATCTGTAACATGGGACCTCAACTCTTTCTTCTTCCTCTGCTTGACTTGGCTCATTCATCCATTCCTTCCTTCCCACCCTCCTCAAAGACACATCTCATAGACTTCTCATTGAGTCCAAGCTGGTTTGGCAGGAAGCCTAAGATGCCACTTTCGCCTTTGACAGATAAGGAATGCTTGTGTACAGGGGCCATGACCTACCCAGACTCAGTCAGGACTTCTGGCTCCCAGTCTCAGACCCATCCTGTCCTTCAGACTGAGATGCCTCACTATGCACAATATCCTTGAGCAAGTCAAAACTCCCCATTTTATGGCAAGACTCCTTGCTTTTCTGTTTGGGCAGAGCATGGTCTATGTCTTCAAGGAGTCCCTCCTCTTCTGGTGGAGCCTACCTCTTAACTGCTTAGCACTTCCTGCAGGAAAGCAGCCACCACCCTATCCCTACAAAGGGTATTCCCCTACACTCAAAGGACAGTAGGGCTACTTATGTCCAGGAAGGCCCAGGTCCTCCTTTGGGGAATCCATCAGTTGAAGCTTCTTACCAGTCCTATGACTCTGGAAAGAATGAACTCCCCCACTGCTCATTCCACCAATGGGAGTCCTCAGAAGGCCCCAGCCTCATTATGCCCTCAAGATGAGGTCAATGGTTCTGAGCACTGAGAATTCCAGGATTGGTGGTTGTGGAGTGGGTGAAAGTTGATGGAAGGAAGGGACTCTATTTTGTGACGTGTCATGAGCATCGTTGTCTTCCATCAAAGAATAGTCCCAACACCGAATTGTCTGTTCCCCACTTCATATGGGGAACTGACAGAACAGCCCCAGGAAAGGGCCCTCACACCCTCAGGAGTTTCTATTTATGCAGTGAGTTGTTACAAAGCCATTTATGGATTATTTCAGTGAGTTGTTACAAAGCCATTTATGGATAATTTCTCCTTCTTCCTTCTCCCTCCTCCTCGTCATCGTCGTCCTCCTCCTCCTCCTCCTCCTTCTTCTTCTTCTATTTTTTTAATTGTCAATGGACCTTCATTTTATTAATTATTGATATGGTGTGCTTAGAATCAAACACAGTGCCTCACACATGCTAGGCTAGTGCTCTACCACTGTGCCACAATCCCAGCCCTTTACATGGATTTTTCAGAGAGGAGTGGGGCAGAGAACACAGTGAACTTTGGGCAGCCTTGTCATCAAGAAGTTTCTGACCAAGTTGTCAGAGAGCCAAACAGCTCCAAAGTTTCATGTAGTCGAAACCTCCTTCTGTTGCTCTTCCAATGTCTCTTTTCTTTCTTCTACCAGTGTTTCTTGGGCATCATCCATCCCTGTGGGTGCTCTCCTTAATGTTATCCTGTATTTCTTTCCAGCTTCATCTTCTTCCCCATCCTTCAGACACCATTCCCTTCTGGGCATCCCAGAGTCCACTAAGAACTCTGGACTTTGGCCCAAACTACTCCTTCACTCAGGAGTGCCTCTCACCACATTTCTAGCTCTGAACACATCCTCGTCCTCCCACATGGTCAAAACTCCAACTCAGTGGCACTCTGATGCTACCTGATGGTACTGAATCAATCCCAGCACCCTATGGTCTCCATTTGGAGGAGACTTGGAGACCCGTTTAATTCAACTTCCATCAGATAATGGAGTAATGAGATTAGTACTTTCCTACTCACCACCAAATCCCTGAAAATTGCTGTAATTCAGGGACTTGCTTACCATCTCCTGAAGCATCTGGATTCATTTTGGACCAGCTCAGTTAGAGGGAAATTTGCTCATGAAGCCTATGGCAGCCTCCAATAGCTTGTAGCACTGGTCCTGGCTTGGATCCTTGGCACTATTGAGTTGCTCCCATTTTCTTCAGTAGCCAGAATGAGCCTTGACAGCATAGATCATGTTAGTCTGCTCCCACACACAGTGACTTCCCATAGTCCTCAGATGAAAAACCATAATCCTTGACCAAGGCCTCCAAATGCCTGAGCATTCTCACCATCCACTCCCATGTGTTTCTTCCCCCTTCTTGTGAATCTCGTCTCTCAGATATTCATAGAGATCCTTTACTCACTTACTTTAGTTCCCTGCTCGAGTGTCTCTTTATCCCTGTTTTTCTTTGCCTGCTTTGTGTGTGTGTGTGTGTGTGTGTGTGTATATATATATATATATATATATATATATATATATATATATATATATATATAATCTGTATTCATTGGTATGGAAACCTGTTAAATTAAAGAAAAGAAAGATATAGGCAATTCAAATTTGAAACTGCCATGAAGGGATTGAAGCAGGTAAAATAAAAGAGACAATTTTGGTGTATAAAGAATGTTAGACTTCATCCAGGAAGGTTCAGTTGAGGTGTGGACATGGGACCTGAGCCCTAGGAGATGATGAGTCAGCCAGTGCAGATGGATGCAGTGAGAAAAACTGCAATGATCCTGAGCCAGATACAGGCCAGCCCTCCTAGACTTATTAATTTTCTACTACATTCCAAAAGCACATAGCAGAGCCAATCTTGTTAAACTACAAGAAAAAGAAAAGACCACTGAGTCCAATTTAAATCAAATTAAAGCAAGCTTGTTATTTCAACCCTCTAGGACTGTTTCTCTCCGGAAACCTGTGGTAATAGAAGACAGTGCTATGACTCTGTAGTAGCACAGTTTTATACAACAAAAGTTTCAAAAGGGGGATGTCTTGAGAACTTACAGATAACAGGGTTTTGACAAGTGTAATACAAATGTAGGCAATAGGTTAATGGTATAAATGGTTCAGCACTTAGGGTGTAAATTTACTTTCCAACCTTTGAAATTATGAGGTGCCACTAAGGTTTCAAAGAGGGTTGTTATCTGGCCAGGGAAAGCCAGAATTTACGAGGCTTCACTAAAGTTTTAGAGAGGGCATTCAAGGCATGGGCAGGCATTCCAAGTAATTTTAGAAATCACAGTAATTTATAGTAAAGCAGAAATGAAGTTTTCATGGCTTTTTGATGAGATTGCTCCCAATATTAAGGAGGAATTAGGCTCCTTGTCTTATGTGTCCCTTCCAAAACTTTGCTAGTGCAGAGGAAGAACTCTGAAGAAATTTTAATCCCTCAGGTAACAGTTCCCAGCTTCTCAGACTCACCCAAAACTGGCTTCCCTGATGCAACCTGACTGGATTTACCTATTTATATTGTGTATCTATTTCTGTCTCCATTGTTGTAAGAAAGGGGGAGGTGATTGTTCTGGCTACTTTGGAGCTTAGAGGGGGCTATGTGGAGTGAGGCAGCTTAGGAGTTCAGTCTGGCTGGAGAAGAACAGGATGTAAATTCCTATGTGAATGGGTGCTTCTATGTAAGAGAGGAAAAAGAAAAACATGAGTACTGAACAAATATTGCCAAAGAATATCATGAAGGTGACAGAAGGTACTATTTTTTCACCAGGAAGTGTGGAGATTGAGAAGCTGTCCCCATAATAAGGGCAGAGTGGACAAGGCCTTTATATAGAAATGTAAATCTTTAACATGTTTAGAGTTATCAGGAATGTAAACACAACAGTTAACTTTTAATGTTATAGATGTCCACCCCCATGAGATGTAGTTAAACTACTCAATGTCATCTGATCTTGTAAAATTTTTGCTTGTGTGACCTCCATGTCTAGTAGAGAACCCTTTATTTCTGGTTCTTGGGAATGGAAATATCATACTAGCAAATATCAAGCCTACCTGTGTAGGTTAGGAATAAAAACTTCTGACTCTGGCAGTTTCTCTTGATAGTTTTTTTTTTTTTTTTTTAATCAGGCATTCCTGCCTGAGAATCCTTCTTTGTAGCCTCCAGTCTTACTTATTTGCGGGGCTAACATAAGTGTAAATCTTAAGTTATATTTAATTATTATTATTTATCTTTAAATACCCAGGAGTGGCTATGTTCTGGTTTTAACTGTTTTTGCTAGGTGTTTAAGATGAAGCAAGTCAAACTGACTTTTGTTTCTGTCTATTATTAAGAGTCAGCTGAGTTTCCATGGGAGTCACTCTTGGGGGAACTTGGAAGCAATTTTTTAGTTCTGCTACTGCCGTTTGCACTAGGAGGGATCCAGGTCTTGTTGACCATGTGGCTTCCCTTGAAAACACCAGAAATATATCCATTCTCCAACAACTCTCCATTTCATGGCAAGAGCATTGATTGGCTTTCTGTTCTCCAGGGGTCTCATTAATCTCCCTGTTTGAGAGGTTATGTGGCCCAGAGTTGCAAAGCTCTCTAGAGAAGTTCCCTATTCCTTGGGTTTACATTGACTCAGAGGGAAAGAGCCAAATATAGAGTTTTTTGTCCCTTTTAATTTAACTTTAATTTTTATTATTGATTTTATTTTTTTAAATACATGACAGCAGAATGCATTACAATTCTTATTACACATATAGAGCACAATTTTTCATATCTTTGTATACAAAGTATGTTCACTCCAATTCATGTCTTTATACATGTACTTTTTGTGCATTACAATTCTTATCACACATATCTACCACAATTTTTCATATCTCTGTTTGTATATAAAGTAGGTTGATACCCAATTCATGTCTTCATACATGACTTTGGATAATGATGTCCATCACATTCCACCATCCTTGTTAATCCCCTGCCTCCTCCCCTTCCTTCCCTCCCCTCTTCCCTATAGATGAATTAACTTTAATTTTTAAGACTTGATGTTATACATCTAGCAATTCAGTCTCACCAGTCTTAAATTAAGAATACTGGGGTTTAACTTTAATGTATATAACCTCACATTAATTGAGGTCTCTGCTATCTTATCTGTCATTTAAGTGATTGCTTATCTTAAATTAACCCAGGTTGTGTGTTCTTGAAGCAGTACCTTTGTAAAACATTAACAGGCAACATGTATACAGTTTATAAGGAAAATATGAAATAAAATTAATAAGAGTAAAAACATGTTTAGTTTGTGTAATAGCTACCTTGAACTTCGACTGTGTTATATTATAACCCCTATTTGAGATCCTAGTAATCTTAACAACAAAAATCAATATTTTCAATACAACTTTAAATGAAGTGAAGTCTAGCCTGCTGTGAGGTTATTCTGACATGTATTAAGATGGAAGGCAGAGCCTTATCTCAGATAAGGTGGGGCTCTTTATAAATCTTAAGTAAATTGTTCTAGTTTTGAAGCTGATTTTTGTTTTTTAAATATCATTATATAAAGTTTACCTATATTGTTGCTTGAGGTCACATGAATAATAGTTAACACAATATGGTATTACATTTAAAATACAAATTACAGAAAGGCTGAAACTTTTACCCTTTTGTGAAAATGTTGCGAAATGTTTGTGTTTTACAATATTAACCTTTACATACATTAGGCTCTCATTAACTTAAAAATACATTTA